TACCAACCATACAGGAATAGGGCGCTCTCAAAGTAAATACCTTTAGAAACTTTTAGAAATTATTATAGTTTTATAAAATTATTAATTAATAATTTTTTTATAATAATAGTGGTTTACCTTATGGTTGGTCCTATGCGGTTACCAACCATACAGGAGATGGGCGTCTTCAAAAGTAAATAGCGTTTAGAAATTTTAGGAATTATGATAGTTTTATAAAGTTACTAATTAACATTTAATAATTATAGTATATTATGTATGTATGGTCGGTTACCAACCATACAGGAATTGGCTCCTGGAAGATGATTAGATCATCAAAGTAAATAGTGTTAAAGAACTTTAATGCATTATGATTGTTTTTAATAAATTTACTAATTAAATAATTTTCTTTCACAATTTATAATTATAGGAATCATAATATCCCTTAGATTATGATCTTACGGTATGAAAATTCAACGCCATCTTTCATTGAGTTTGATGATGAATTTTTGGTGGTTGAAAATTGTTCGTTATTGGCTGCGTATGGTATTTACGCGGAAAATAAAATGAAAGAACAAGTTGGTTCTTATCATTATAGTTTAGGTCTTAGGACAGACAGATTACCACCAGTTGGTAATTTGTCCACTGTCTCGATTAGTCGCTAGTTAGTGTATTTAAAGAATTTTGATATTAAATCATGTAAAAAAAATATTCTGTATTGTATTAGTTTGTTGAATAAAGCAAAATCTAATTTGTCTTTAGTAATCCTTATAATTCGTTCGTTTATTTTTTTTGTTTCCACGTAATTATATTAAATAATGATAAATTATAATAACCTCGTAACATATAATAAAAACAACGCGTTTCAATTTATTAGTTTTTGACGATGAAAAAAAATGACCACCAACACCATCATCAACCACTGATTACTATCATTACTATCATTATTACCGCCCTATCAACATCATCTGATCACAATCTAGATTTCACTTTTTTTATTTGCATCACATCAAGCAAAGCAAGCAAAATAAAAAACTTTGTAGATGCGAATAATGATAGTGTCACGTGTATATTTACGTATTTTTATTGGTCGTATGTGAATTTACCTCAATGATCATTTTTAAAATTCTTTTATTAATGTGTTGTTTTATTTATTTAACGAAATTGGATGTGGTATACATTGGACCGAACTTTGGTACTCGAACTTTGAATGGTAAAATAAAAATATATTTAAATTTCATTTTATTTTCATTATAATGTATAATGCTGTTCTTTTTCATAGGGTTATATGATATCATTTTTTCGCTAACGTACTTTTATTCGGACTTCAAAAGAATTTGAAAAAAGAAAATTTTTAAATGGTAAGTTCTGATTTATTTATTAGTTAATTAAATTTTCTGATGGTGTATTTTAGGTGTTGAAACCGAATTTTTTGTCATCGACTTCTGTCATTTAATGTCATCAGCCGCTTAGGCGAAGTCTCAGACTATTCCAGTTCAGCGAAGATATCCGGCGATTGGCGACTTGGATGGCTGAAATGAATCACAACAAATCAACTTAATAATTATTGCTATCTATTAATGATATCATTCCGATATCTTCCCTTCGAAACAAGCGTGCTGTAGCTCTTGCCATTCAATACCCAAAATTATAAACATGCATTGAAATAACAGAAACATAGATCTGTTTCTATTTCATTACAGAACCTTTATTATCTCAGAGGTTGTAGTAGTTGCTGAAAAGGTATACAAAACGATTAGCCAAAAGAAAGATATTTTGTGGTATTAGCGAATTTTAGTTATAACTGATGGATTGGCAGAGACTTAAGATTAGAGGATGTGACGAAGGTAAAATTCTTACAAACTTTATTGAGGAACAAATGTAGACATAGATCAAGCCAGATAGGAGATAGATCACTATTAGCGCATTTTGGGGGGGGATTGATTTAGCAATAAGATCCATGACATAGATGGCAAAGGTAATTCAATACAGGTGAATTAGAAAATATATACCAGACGGAAATGGTATAATAATTAATTATACGTAATAATTCACGTGATCAATAATTTAGAAACGAACTTGGTGATGAGGAACAACTCGTCAGTTATTTTGCACCTTATAGAAAGAAATGACTGTCATATTTTGTGCTATTGAAGAAGATGAAGAAGCGTGGAATTACAGTTGGCATCATTTATTAAACCATAAGTAATTATTTGAAATTGAAAGTATCAAGATATAGCGTTACCAGATGATATAGTAAGTTGCAAATAATTTATTAGCATTAATCCTTTCATTAATAATTAATAAATTGTTTATTATTCGTTTCCCTTTAGTAAAACGTTGTTGACACAAAAGGGAAAGTAGATAATCCTGCATTACCTTTACTTGACACCGAGATTACATCACGAACAGTAAATTCATTGATATTTGGGCTCAATCTTTTCCAAATCTGCTTATACATGTACTACTTAATTGGACATTCAATTTAAGCGACAATACTAATTTTTGGAACTAAGGAAAACTTGTGGTGTTAACGTGCCTCTTGGAATTGTCTTTGCAGAACGTGGGGATGTCGTGGTTCATGATGGTGTGGTGTTATGGGGAGAACTTGTATAGATGCACATTTTTTTTTGATTTGACTTCAATTACCTAATCCTATGAAATTATAGAAATTTGCAACAACAATATCCAACCAATTACTCTTGATTTTTTACGACCTTTTTTTAATTTAAAAAGATTGTAAGTTGGGAGAAGATTCAGCATTGGGAAAAACTTTTCAAAAAAAGATTTAAAAATGGAACTTATAACAAAATTCTATTTTAATTGTGCTATGTTAAGTTCATTGAGTTTATCATTATCTAAATCCTAGATTAGCAAATGGCTTGGAACACTCTGGGTGCTAAAGTTGCCTTAGTGCATTCACATCAAACCTCTCAATCATGTTAGTTCAACTTCCACCGAACATTATATCAATTTAAGTGATTCTATTATTAGAGAGAATTGATAATAATGATGATTAGAGGGTAGTCGAATAGGATTAGAAAAGAAGAGTTTATGAATTTAAAGATTGATAATCAACGTATACATATATGTACTGTATATATAAAATAAACTATAATAAATATAATGTAACTAATATAACTACGGCTTATCTGCATCCGTATATATTATAAAACTAATATGAACAGACCACACAATGACCTGTAACGAAATTGAAGGATTTGAATAGATTTTTTTTATAAATTTCGACATAATTACAGTATTTATCAAAGATCTTGCACCATTCTTGAACGTTTTGCACGCGTGTCGTTCTCTGTTAAATACAAGGCCAAACAATTATCACAATACCTCTCACACGTATACATATCGAAATGGTCCATCTCAGAAGAATTCATTTATTAAATTTATTACAACAGGGCAAATTTTGTTGTCAAGAAATAAACAAGTTGGGTTTTTATTAAATAGAAAAAATTTCCAATTTATTACAAATCTCGTTTAAGGAGATACAAACAAGTGACCAAAGACGAGATCAAATGTGTTGAAAAAATAATACTTTGATTTTACTTCAAAATCAAAGTATTGAAAACGCAGGTGATAATTTGTCACCTGCGTTACTCCCGTTACTCCACCGTTCGGTCTTAACAGAACGTTATTATATCCCCCTGAATTCACAACAAAATGAAAATAAACACGGGTATTAAAAAATTAAGCTACAAAAAAATACTAAAAAAATAAACCGTCTTAAAATGTGAAGTTCCTTATACCTTAAAATTTGGATATGGTTGTAATTCATCCGGTTGAGTTCTCGATACGAGAAGCAGAAGCATTTTCTCAAACGCGAATTGTAAAAATGAGATTTAATGAATATGAATTGAGTGAAAAAGTTTAGAATTTAGTGGACAAAAATTTGGGTTTTTTTTTTCTTTCTTTTGCGTAATTAAAATAATCGATTTTTTTTTGTTTTTTTTTTTTTTTTAAAAAAAAAAAACAAAAAAAAGGCAAATTTGTTGGTTTCTTATATTGGGAAAACGCCAAATGAAATTGACACATAAAAAGAGATCGCATTTAATTAGTTCATTTTCAAAATCATTAACCCAAATCCAATTTTTTACAATAATTAAAGGAAAGATATGTTTGAACGCAAATGTATAATGATGTAAAGGCTCTAAATTCAGCAATATGAAATTTTTTAACTGTATCACTATTCTTATTCCAAAAAAAAAAAAATATTTTTTTAAGGAATTCCCATTGAATGATCATGGGATACTTGATTTATAACTTCACATCAGAACATTATATACAAAAAAAAAGGTTGGGTAATAATAGAGTTTCTTTTTTTTTTTATTTTCTAACTCGAAAATTTTTTTTCCCTTTCTACTGCAAAGAAAACACTTGTTTTATCAATCATTCCATACAAAAAAAAAATATTGTATTTAGAATGGAAAAACAGTATTTTGATGAAAGAAAATGATCATCTCCCCCAATTGATGAGATTTCTTGCCGCTATAATCCGTAATGTGATTTTACTGGCCTTTTGCGGTTCGCGCTTTTCTAAAATAAAAAAAAAGTTTTTAGTTGAAGTTTTTTGTGTAACACTCACGCCTACAAATTTTTAAGTATCGATTTTGACACTAATGCGATGTCTGTGAATAAGCATAACAGCCAATCAAAGAGTTTGCTACAATTAGTACACTACGTTTTATATCAGTTTATTTTTTATCCAATATCTAAAAGGTGTTTTCGTGAAGAAAAGTTTCTTAGCAGAGATAACATCTAAGCATCATATTAATATCAGAATTTGGTCAATTATTTTAAGAAAAAAATTTAATATTAAAAATTCAATTCTAAGAAAAATGTTTTATAAAATCTTTAAAATGTATTAACAATTGTAGAGACATTCTGATCTGTTATAAGTTTTCTTTTTTTAGTAATTTATTATACAATCAGGTACATTGATAATTTTTTATTAATTAAAATTTTTTTTAAAAATTTTTTTAAATTAAATTAACTATAATATAAATTATATTATAGTAATTTTTATTTATTAATTATATAATAAAAATCTAAAGTTATTTATAAACTAAAAATTTGTAATTTTAATAAGAAACTAATATGTATTACTTATTTCTGACTAATTAGAAATAAGTAAAATTTTTAGTCATAGGATAAATTATTTATCATCTATTATCGTTATTTACATAATAATAGATAGTTAATATTATATAATTTATATTTGTAACTATATATATATTTTATTACTTACTAAATTTTATTTGCAATCAAAAAATAATTAAAAAATTTAGAAACTAATATAAAATTATAGACTAATAAAATATCTCTTAAAAGAATCTTATTTTTTTTTTTTGTAATTTATATAAATTAAATAAACTTAATTATATATATATATAATTTAATTTTTTTTTAAGTATATAAGTATAATAAATATTAAAATATTCAAATAAAAAGTTTTTTTGAAAGAATATTCTGTTGTATACTGTATTAATTTATCAAATCCGTTGATATCTATTATTATTTTTATTTTAATTAGGGGTGGATTTCAAATTTTAAAAAAAGAAATAATATTAAAGAATATTATAAATCAGGAGAAGCAGCAAGTGCACCAATTAGTGAATTACCTGCATTTAGAACTGAACTACAATCTATAATTACACAGTATGAATTGTCAGATGTATTTAATACAGACAAAACTAGCTTTTATTAGAAATTAGAACCCATAAATCTCTTGCTAGTGGACCTCTTACTAGATTAAAAAAACCAAAAGATAGAATTATTGTGATGCTTACATGTAATATAAATGGAACTCATAAGTTACCTCTAATATTCATCTATAAATTTTAAAATTCACGCTGTATTCATAATATTGATAAAAATTACTTCCTGTATGATACTATTGGAATAATTCATCATAGATGCAATGTTCTATTTTTCAAGCATAGATTAGACAATTTAATCAAGAAATGCAAAAAAAGCAAAGAAATATTTTATTATTAGTAGATAATGTTTCATTATATTAATTGAAAGAAGGTGAAGAGTTGAATAATATTAAATTGCATTTTCTTCTACTAAACACAACTTCTCATCTTCAGCCAATTAATCAAGGCATAATGCGATCATTTAAAATAATTATAATATTAATCTTTTATAAATTTATTTTTAATATTAATAATTTTACTTTATTTGTCTAGATTCATTATAGAAAATTACTATGCCAAGATAGGATTCAAGCATTTAATGAGCACCAAGAACTTGATATTGAGATTCCTAAATTAAATATTTTAAATGCAATTAATTGGACTGCAGAATCCTGAAATAATGTAACTGATGATACAATTTACCGTTATTGGCAAAAAACAGGTATTCTACCTAATGAGAAAATGATTGAAGAAAATAAAGAAAATGAAGAAAATTAAAATATAAAGAAAATGCAATCCAAACACTTATTAATCAAATAGATATTGATGATATTACAGCAAGCAATTATATTAATATTGACTCTAGAATAGAAATTGCTGAAGTAATTAATGAAGATGAGATAATTGCTACAGTACAAAAAATACCAGAAGAAGAAAAACTATAAATATACCAATATTATATCCAATTGTTTTAGATAGTATTAAAAATCTATTTGACTATTTGCAACAAAATTCTGATATAAAAGTAAATAACTCAGTAATATCAGAAATGAGAGACTTACAACATCAAATTAGAAGAAAACAAAATGCATCTCTAAAACAACCTACTTTAGAAAGTTTTTTTTATAATGAATAATTTTTTATACATTATTTTAAACATTTTAATTTATTATTATTTAAATAAAATCTGATTAGATATTTTTATGTAGATCAATTTTAATATAAAATTTGATAAGTCAGTTCTTTCGATAAGTTAATCAAATGAGCTTGCCTTAGCATAACTGACTTATCAAATTTACATGTATATTTACAAAATTATAGTGACCAAAATTATTTACAGATTTACAGAATTTAATTGCAGAAAACTTTTTTTTATTTTTATTTTTGGTTTTCTTGTTGGTATTTTCAGTGCTAACTATATATATAACGGTAAAATTCCTTTTTTTTAATTAGCTAATGACCAAAATAATCCATCTGCAGACATTTTCCCAACATCTATTATATAATATATATATTTATTATAAATGAATGAATATAAATATAAATTATTTATTATATAAGAAATGAATTTTTTAAATATACAATCATACCTATATTACCTTCTTTATATTATATGCTATATATAAAAAAACCTTTTTAAAATATTATAATGTAAGTGAGCATCTTACCTATAGTATATAAATAATAATTTAATAATAAGACATATGTTTGGTTATTCAATTATTTCTTGAATTACAATAATGTCTAAGACTTTTTTTTTCCTTAAAAAATAAAAGTACAATTCTGACATATACAGTATTAGTATATAGATCACGGAAAATTTTCGCTTCTAATACCTACCAAAACCCACTTAATTGACTTGTTTAAATTTTACCAAAGTAAAAAAAAAATATATATTTCATAAATTTGTCACAACAAAATTCTTTTTTATTATGTAATAGCTTTAACCCTATAACATATAATATTTGAACTCTATTATTACTGACTCATATAATTGTACTAGTATATGACAGGTGCCTATAGACATAATAAGGTAACCTCTTAATTTAGATGATCCTTTTTCAACTATGATTCTCAAATTTAAAATACCTGAATCAGTAAAACTTTTCACTATCTCTTTTGTAATTGTCTTGATATATCTGTCTAACTGTTGATATCCATTATTCAAAATGTCATGCAACTGCTGCATCACAAATTTTTTTTCCTTCTTTGACCAATACATTTATTTACGTTGCAACTGCTTTTCATTCTCATTCTCAAGATCTTTATCCAACAGGTTCATAATTTTTGTGTCTAGGTTCTTTATCCAGAATCTCTGTGCTCTACTTAAAAGACCAGTAATTATAATATATTTGAGTTCTAATACAATATTTGATATCAATAGGTCATCACCATTTTCAAAAACAAAAAGGTCCACAAAACTAAAGTGTCTGTCACCACTTTTCTTCATTCTATCAATTATAAGATGAAGCTCAGTAACATGAAATAACATTGGAAGAAAAATTTCAAAAGTTACTTGCATCACAGCTTTGTTAGCAGTTCTTAATGACATCATAGGTCTATTTTTGAAGAAGTTTTTTGTGAGTTCTACTAGTGAATTTATAGAGCCACGTATAAGTTAATTGTATATAGGAAGTCTGTGTTGAAAAAGATTTCTGTTGGAACTTATATAGTCTACAATTTGGGTTATAATCTAAATGAAATTAATATCATTTAGGATTTTCTTATTCGAAATATATTAAGAAAATAAAATGAAAACATATACTTCAGTCCTTGTTACTTGATTTAAGATTATCAAGCTTCTAGCATAGTCACACATCAATATCCCAAAATAATACAAAAAAGACCATATAAGCTGTTGATGATATTCTATATCTTGTTCTCCAGTCCTGAGAAAATCAGAATAATTAAAATTATTTTGAAGTTTGATAAAAACCATCTCATTTGTGAGGAGTTTGAAAAAATCGTTAATAGAGACTGGGTTCTGGTCAGCAATACATGTGAGTATCTTTGTTGAATTTATAGCAGCTAACTCAGAAGGTTTAAAAACAAGGTCACGACTTCGTCTTTCTCTCAAATAATGAAAAATTAAATAAATATTATATAGAAAGGGAGTTTGAGTATTAGATCCTGTGTTAATAAAGTTATATTCAAAATACAGTTGTCTAATTTGATCCATTACATCATTTACTATCTGCATATTATTATCAAAATAACATTTAGCAATTGACTGTACTACTTCTTCTGTAAAACTGTAAATTCCATATAATTATGGTCTTTCTGAGATATCATCCAATATAAGAAGTAGACTAAGCCTTGCACAGAATGCAGAGGCAACTCCTATAATATATAATTTATTAATAGAGCCACAGCATTTTCTTTTGATTACTGCAAAAAAATTTGTATTAAAAAATTGTTCAACTATGTCAACATCATTACGCTCTGCATCATTCAGAATATGAAATTCATATTTGAACGCGCAGTTGTTACCCAAAGTGTTATATTCATCAATTCTAATAAAGAGTTTTTGAGACTGTTTACTTACAGTAGACTTTATGATCGTTAATATATGTTAAATAGCATGCATACAAGACAAATATAGAAAATATGGAAATATAAATAATACAACTTACTATGACATTTTGAAGAGATATAGAGACGCTTGCTTGACAATTAATTTGTTAATGTCTGGATATTCCAGCTCTTTATCGTATTTCTCAACAAAATCTCACAATACATAATTAACATTTCCATTAAAACTTTCTTCTATCATTTTATAAAAATAAACATTAATAGAGTAGAGATCAAATTTAAGAACTAAATATTTATTTTGTGAATTCGTAGGATATTGTCTAATATAAAGTAGTTTAAAAAGCCAAAAAAATTTGTCTGCATTTTTAATGTTATAATATTGGTAGAGCATATCAAGAAATGCCAATTTTTCAAATCTACGTGGTCTAAGGAAAAGAATTCTGAACCTCAAACCTTCCTTTTCTAGCTTTTTAATATATATAGTTTTGTCAATAAACAATATTCTCATCTCAGAACGAAAACTTATGAAACTAAGATTGCAGTGTAAGATTATTATTTATGAAGATTTGAGAACAAAAATCAGTAATTTAACAACAGTAGACCATAACAATTTAAGGTCATACTTTTTTATTTGTCTCCGTTTCATTTTCTGTAATAACCTTAAAAGTAGTGGAAGTTCCTTCTAAGGACTCAACATTGAGAATTAGAACATCAATTTTATTTGTAATTTTAGCCTGCAAAAACCCAAATAGGTATAAGTTTTAACCTGAGAATAATTTATAGTTGTATTATTATTCCACCTTCTTTAATATTTCATTATGATCATTATCCAAATATATTTTATCTCGCCCTTTTCCTATCATAATTTCTGGCAAGATCAGTTGTTGTACATGTTGATTCATGATATTATCTAATTTTATATGTGCTTTGATCACATTTACTGCTTTATTCATGTTGAAGATTGCGATAACATTATTCTATAGTTCACATACTGCTGCAATATCAAACTTTTCGACAAAATAATAAAAGTATGGTAAATAAATAAAATAAGAAGCACAGACGGCTAAGTGCAGAGGACGTACCCAAGCATCTCTCAGGATGTATTCAGGAAATATGCATCTAATTCAGCTACTTGCAGTGGACGTATCCTTTTAATCAGGACATACCTGAAAGAGTTGCAAGAGCCTGGCAAAAAAGCTCTATCTACATGTTTCATTAAATGTTTAAAATTTTCAAAACTTATCTAGTAAATGTAAAATAAACTACCTTCTTTCTTTTATTATTTAAAAGCTTTTGTGTAATGTTGCGAAGTTCCAAAGAAGCTTGTTGATCAATATTTATTGTTTGTAAAGCCTTATAAAATGTTTGATAAGATTTATCTTTATCTGTAAAACCACTGTCAATTGCCCAGTTAACATAATGGCTTAATGACCAGATTTCATAAGAATAAATCTCAAAATACTTAGCCTGGAAATGTATTCACGTCTTGATATTTTTAAATAAAGGAATGTCACTTGATATGTTTGTAAAGAAAAGGACTGAATAAGCTATTTAATACAGATACAGACTCTGTCTTAGATTTTATAATATACCAAAAATTGTAAAGTTATTCTTCTTAATGTTCTTAATTAAATTTAAAATTGCTAAAGCTGGTCCCATCTTCAAATTGCAATCTTTAAGTTCATCTTTTGTCAAAAGAAGAAAAATATACCCTGTAAGTTTTGCCTCGTAAATAAGCCTTAAATTTTCAAAATCAAGTTGCAAGTCCTTTTGCTTTCGCAAAAATGCTAGAAGTTCCTTTGTTTTCTAATTCCTGACCAATTTACTTGCCATCTTTGTGGAAGTTTGAGAAAAATGTTTTCAGAAATTTATTAAGGGTTATACATACCATATATCACGAGTCATGTGTATTATAATAATAAAGTTTCTAATTCTCATTTTTTTTTAAATTTGATTGATTTTTTTTAATGTAAAAAATTCTAACAGATATTTCTTCATAATGTTAAATAGTGATGTTAGTCAGCTCAGGAATTTTTAAATATGTCTTTTATAGTAAGTAAAGATTATTTATCTTAAAAATAATAATAAATAAAATGGTATAGAAATTACATTCTTCCTGATTATAAATGTAATCATGTTAAATTCTGATTTTGTTGCAGTATGTCCCATTTACTATATTATATCTAACTAATAAATATATTAAAAATCCTTTTTTATACTGAAGCTATTAATCAAATTCTTTAAAATTTTTATTGTAAGATTATAATAAATTTAGTATTCAAAATAATAACTTTGTTATAATAAGAGTTGATTATAAATATAATTTATATAATTTAAAAGTATATTAATATAGCAAAATTTAAAATAATTAATTTAAAGTAAATTATACATAATTAGATATTATATATCAAAATATTTTATCTACAATATTAAAAAAATTTATATTATTATAGGATTTAATTATATTAATTAAATTTAATGATAATACAAAAATTAACTAAATATTTAAATAAATTTTTTTTATATAATTTTTATTTAAACTTTTAATTATAAATATAAAAAATTTTAAAACTATTATTTTTTAAAAAAAAACTCTTTCCGCTGATTACCAAAACCAAAAAAATGACTGGAAAGAAAAACATTCGTAATAACAATTCCAAACCTTACCAAGCCCGCTCCTTTCCTATGGAGAACGACCAACAACAACAACGTCCAGCTAAGAAACGACATATTAAACCACTAAAACAAACAGAAACTTCAAACGCCTCTGGAAGCAACTCCAACAGCTCCACAGATATGGAAGTTGAAACCTCGTTTCCTAATACTTTAGATAAAGGAAAAGGTCCTGAAACTCACAACAACAACGTCAATATTCTCCTTGATGAGGACCAAGCCTTTGATGCTTCTGAAAATGGTCTCAACAACAAACAAAATGATAAAAATGAAATCACTTAGAGCGTGAAACTGAAGCCCCAATCTACTTCGCTTACTGCGCCGCAGATAAGTTTTACCCCGGAAAATCCAACAGAGACAAACAAAATGAAGCATGTGATTTATTTGCATCACACTACTCGTCCTTCATTGGTGCCTCAATTCATACTCACCCTGAGAACTCCACAAAGAAAATCGTCTAAATTGGTTTACTTCACATGCTGAGGCAAACAATGCAATTACACTCAAATTTCCATGTTTGGAAAATAATACATTTTTATCCTTTACGATCAAACCAATAGCTAAGTACATCCCTGAGTTATCGATCTGCCTCACTGAGATCCCTATATCTACTACTGAATCAAATATTAGATCATCCTTTTCCTTTTTTAAAAAGATCTCCCGTTACGTCATATTCACAAAAAACCTTTGACAGCAAGCTACCCTCACATTTGAACAAGACACAGATATGACCACCCTAAATAAACTTAACAGCTATTTTGTCCTTAAAGACTTAATCAGGGTCTACCCATGTACTATGTCAGTCGAAGATGTTAGGAAAAAATCAGAATTCTCTTTGAAATTAACTAACCTCCCACTTGACACAAATGGGCGCCATTTAATCTTTATCGGTAACGCTATCGAAGCGATTGCCTGAGTTATTCCCAAATTACGTGCTAATTACAGAAACTTACAATACGCTATCTTCTATTTCAAAACTAAAGAATCTATGGAAGCAGCAAAAAATGGAGAGACGTATTTCCTTGATAGGAAACGATTAATCTGGACTGATCCTAATGTAAAACTTTGCTTTAACTATCAAGTTTCAGGTCACCAATCGCAGAATTGTCGCAAAAATTGTTCAGCTTTACAAGACTGACAAACTTAACACTTATACCAACATTATCAATCTGCCCAATTTCGTAATTACAAGGCACCTGCCATTGTGTCCAAACTATCACCCCGCCCCAAAAATCAGCAAATTACAGACAGACATAAACTGGGTCAACAACAAAACAATATCAAAGATAAACCTAAACCCAGCAATGTTATCGCTTCACCCAATCATCAAACAAACATTTCTCAAACAAAATCACCAAATGGAGATTGACAACAATAACGTACTAACTCCATCTGCCCTATCAATGATAAAGGAGAACAAACGTTAGATGCTAGTATACATGCATCGTATCGCTGGGCTGATGAAACTTTAGACGAATATTGTTTGCCAAATGTTACCTCAAACTAACAATCCCAACCAAAAATGCTCGTGCAAATCTTCAATCAACTAATCGCTATCTCTGAGCAGTTCATCAAAATAGAGTTAGATCTCCGCTCGACTGCAAATCGAGTTGCTACAGTTGAAAAAGTCCTTAATATCAACGTTCTACTCCCTCACCAAGCAGAATTACTAAACAAATCTTTCAATAAAGATGATATGAAAACTGAGGAACATACCTATATAGCTGGTCCATATACTAAAGATAATATTGTTGCTAAACAATCTGCTGAACTAATAACCTTGAGAGATGAAAACACCCTC